GTAACTATGGCAATATATCTTAGGTAATATCAGAGATTAAGAATTATACCGTGGGAAAATTTGCGATGAACAGGCAGTTCTAAAAAGCTTTCGAAAAATATACAGGGAAATTTAAAAGAAAATGCACGATTTCCAACATCTTTTTTGCAAAAAAACCTCATATACTCTGTTTTTTTTCTCAGGTAAGATTTCGACAGACGATGACAGAAGAAAAGCAGATGACATCCCATACCAATCTATTTATTTTACTAAAAAAAAGTTTCTAATAATTTTTAAGTTACCTATGGATGGGTTTAAATATAAATTCGTCATGCGTCGTCACTTGTTGTTTTTAACCAGTTTTATTGGTTTATTTCAAAAATGACAGATCGTATTTCAATTTTATTGGTTTGACGGAACGATGAACGACAAACGGACGCCGATGCGTATGAACTCGTCTTTAGATTTTTGACGTTTGTCAAAGTCTTGCTAAATTATAGGTTATAATTTTGTGACAACTTTTGTCAAATACCCTGCGTTTTGGAAGATGATGCATTTTGATTCGTGTTATTACGTGTGTTTTGTGTCTTTTGAAGTCAAGTGGAGGAAAAATCGAGTGAAAATTAACTGTAGAACCCAGAGCACATTTTATGGTTAATACTCGCTGCCCAGGCAGAAAGTCTTATACAGATACACCAATAAAGTTACTATCAATAAAGTTCGTATACCATCTCGTCGTAGATAAGTGCATCTCGAATATGGTAGAAAGACCATACTAAACACATACTAAAAACTGGAGTAGCTGTAAAATATCGACATAACACGATAGGTAAATAATGGATTTTAGTACTGAAGAAAAATAATGTCAAAAGGTACTGGTTTAAAAAAAATAAGATTAATGTTAATTAATCAACCTGTGAGGTATAAAATTTGGTAAGTGTTATTATTAATAAAATAGTTTGTTTTATTTATGTTGTTTTATTTATTCCTGCGGAATATTACAAATTTGTATTTGTACATAAGTTATATTGATAAATATAATCATAAATGCGGGAAGTTTCATAAAGCGTGAAAGTAAGAAATAGTTCTTTTTTATATTTTTTGGTATGTGGTGTCTTGTTTTTGTTTGTTTTGTATTAACACATACCGTTTTTTATTAAATAAATAACTCGATAACATTTTTTTCAGTTTTATACAGTTTTTTTCACAATATTTTGAAGTTACTTGTCAGTCAAATTTTAAATACATATATTAATTTCCTGCTATTTCCTGCTATGCGTTCCAGTTGTACCAACTCATTTCTTTGTAAAATAAAATAAACTACATTGAAATTAAAATGACAGACACATCTATCACTGTCAAGGATCTTCTCGTTGGACAGACTATAGACGTGTTCCTGGGGTCAAAATATACCACCCCTGAAAATATTTGCACTTATTTAAGACCCTGTATATTATATTGGTGTGAGCTATACAGGGTGGTCCGAATTGTACTCCGGAAACTTCGGCTGCATATTCTGCAGATAAAAATAAGTAAAAAAGTTCGTATAAATGTATGTCCTAAAATGCTTAGTTTCCGAGATACAGGGTGTAGAAATTTCATTTTTATTTCGATTTTTTCCAAATAATTTCTGAAGCAACGTCAATATTTGGATGAAAATTGGTGTCTGGGGGTTTTTTGACATGAGAATTTTGATTTTGATGTCATTGTGACTCCTACTAGTAGAGGGCGTCACCTACATATCTTTTAACTGGTTTGAAAAGTAATAACTTTTCGTCCGTACCTGTATAAAACTACTGAGTAAAAAAATATACATTTACGACGTTTTTTACGTGAAAAAGGTCTCTTGGTAAAAATCGCTACGAGTAATGGTTTTCGAAATATTTGGAATTGAAATTATCAATACCTGTAAACATTGACATAAATTAAACATGCTGACTAAACAGTTATTAGATTGAAATCATAAATTTGAAATGTTTTTATACTAAAAGTTTAACAAAAACTCATCATTTTTTGCAAAAAAATTCATGATTAATTTAAAAAAAATAAAAATTTCCTAAATTTATTATTTCAGTGAGATAACTATCTACTCAACATGATTATTTTTCCTCAATAATGACATGTATTGTCTATTTCCATGCTAAATATCTTAAGAACGGTTGCTCGTAGAGATTTTTACAAAGAGATATTTTTTACGTAGGAAGTCACAGAGATGTATATTTTTTGGCTCAGTAGTTTTATACAGGTACGGATAAAAAGTGATTACGCTTCAAAACATTTAAAACACATGTAGGTGGCGCCCTCTACTAGTAGGAGTCATATTGACACCAAAATCAAATTTCTCATGTCAAAAAACCTCCAGACACCAATTTTCATCCAAATATTGACGTTACTTCAGAAATTATTTAGAAAAAATCGAAATAAAAATGAAACTTCTACACCCTGTATCTCTGAAAGTAAGCATTTTAGGACATACATTTATATGAACTTTTTTACTTATTTTTATCTGCAGAATATGCTGCCAGTTTCCGGAATACAGTTCGGACCACCCTGTATATATTTCTGTGAGCTTGAAGCTCTAATACTGAGCAGGGTGCAAGGTTTCTAAGGGTTTCTCTAATAACTTTCTGTCACGCTTGAATAAATCCCAAATGCCCCTACTACTGTATGATCGAAAAAAAAAGGCGTCCAGTTGGCTTGGAAATGACGATGGATGACACATTCCCCATATAATTTTACATATAAAATGACAGCGATCTTCATTTCATAGCCATCGCTGACGCCGTTTTTTTCTATCATACGGTATTACAAACATAGCCAATATTTTTTCTAAAATGAAATAGCAAAGAAAAATTCATTCATTTGAATGAGAGTATATTTGAGCAATCTAAAATCGTTGCTACCTGCGGGAAGTCGTCTAAAAAGTTGATCATCCTATCGCTTTTTTTTATTTTAGCAGGTAGGTAGTCTGACCTCGAAATTGATATAACAAAGCAGTTTTGGAAAAATAAAAGAACAAGGTTATAGTCGAAAAATTAGTTTATAAAAAATATTTAATTTGTTTGAAAATTCCAAAAAACCTACCTATTGAAAGTTAAAGTTTAAGCATTGATATTATGTATCAAACATACGAAATTTTCGGCTTAGGTCTCCCTAAAGTTACAACTACAACTTTATAAAAATTATTGGAACCCTCATTTTCGTAGTCCTAAAAATTTGCCAGATGATAGTTTTAGTTATTTTTTATACAAGACGATAAAATGGTATTTTATCGTCGTATCGAAAAGATTGAATCGCGAGTGAATTAATTTCGGGAGACGATAATGCAATTTTATCGTCGTGTATAAAACAATATTTTTTTTTCCATAGCGAGTTACGTTTTAAAAAATATTCAGAAATTATTATTTCAAGGGATTTATTACGAGTAGAAAAAATATTGTGCTGGGTTGGCGTTGGTTTCTATGTAATTAGCCAAATAAATAAAGCTGTCTCTTTGTTGTCAGTTTTGAGTAAATATTTTTAATTCTCTTTCGTGTCGATTGCTGATTGAATTGGAGCCAGAAATGGCTCAAAACGAAATAAGTAAATTACCAACAGATATTCAGGCTGAGGCGACAAACGCCATATCTCTAGGAATACAAAAAATTTCAAAAATTAAATTAAGCAATTAAAAAACGTGCGAGAAGAAATAAAGTTTTTAACCTATCCTCGCTGTTAAAGTATAAATTTAATCTACCCTTGCCGTTAAAGTACTATTTTATCTACTATTTTTGATAGATATAAGGCAATTTTAACAGTTGCTATGGAAAAAATATTATAATTACAGCTGCAAACATAGTCTGGATCATGTGGAACATCCCGAAAGCCTTGCCAGACTCGTCCAACGGTCGTCAAGCGCGCTAAATTCGGCATGTTCAATTATACAGGTGATTGTTGATTGTTGTCATCCCTACATGTTTTTACTTTTCATAATTTATGGTAAGAAAAATATTGGTTTAGAGCCAAAAACACTTTTCTCAATATTTTAACCCCAGAAATCAAAAAAACAAGTAGATTCTTAGACTATAGATGGAGATAAAAAATCATATTTTAGCATTGCAACTGTTAAAATTGCCTTATATCTATCAAAAATAGTAGATAAAATAGTACTTTAACCGCAAGGGTAGATTAAATGATACTTTAATAGCGAGGATAGGTTAAAAACTTTATTTCTTATAGCACGTTTTTTAATTATTGCTTCCATTTTGGAAATTTTTGTATTCCTTTTCATAAGTTATTCCGGATTTAACTGGAAGTAGTTTGGATATGGCGTTTGTCGCCCCAGTCTGAATATCTGTTGGTAATTTACTTATTTCGTTTTGAGCCATTTCTGGCTCCAATTCAATCAGCAATCGACACGAAAGAGAATTGAAAAAATATTGACTCAAAACTGACAACTAAAGAGACAGCTTTATTTATTTGTTAAATTACATAGAAACCAACGCCAACCCAGCACAATATTTTTTCTACTCGTAATAAATTCCTTGAAATAATAATTTCTGAATATGTTTTAAAACGTAACTCGCTATGGAAAAAAATATTGTTTTATACACGACGATAAATAAAAAATAACTATTATAAAGACGTTCTAATTTTTTAAAAATACGTACAAACCTTCTTCAAAAAGTTTGTCTAGTATGATCTGGTATGATAAGTAAATGTCACCACCTAGGTACTAGGTATAAAAAAATAATATTTGGCAGATATGTTTTTCCAACACTGTTTTAAGTTACTGACGATACCTAGGTAGGTAGGTACAATATATCTGACGATACCTAGGTAACTGAAAAGACATTTATTAGTACCTAAGTAGTTAAAACATTTATTTCTGCATGTTAGCAGTTAAAACAAATGCATGTAGTCAATGTAGTGACAAATAATTAAAATAAAAAAAGATGCTGGCTTGGATAAATTTTCATTCAATAAATGCCACAAATTTGAACAGATAGATATAGATATATAAAAAAAGGTAAAATACTTACTCGAAATGCCTGAATTCTATTGAATCGTACAACAGTGAAGCCAAATAAAAATCTTTTTTGTCTCTTCCACGATATAGCATTGTCACATATCACAGTTTTTTAAAAATTAGCAATTTTCCTAAACTTAAAAAACGGTCTATTCGAGTCACAAACTACAAATTTAATTCACAACAAAACTAAAGGAAATTCGAACTAAATAAAACTGTATTTTTAAACTGTATTGTTTCAGTCACGTTAGTAGAAAAAATAACTCCAACAAAATCTAGGAAAAAAAACTTGCTCTCCCCAACAAATCACGACAAAATGTAAACAAATTGTGTAGGTTAGGATCCTTTTAAAATTTCTTGTTTGGAATTTTTAGAGCGCCTGCGTTGGACTGTGGACCACACGTTACAAGGGGTGATTAAAAAGTAAAATTGTTAATTCTGAAAAATAAATGTATGGTATTTTAAAATTAATCTTTTTTTTTTCAATTTATGGACTTATTTACTTTATTATGGTAGACGTTTAAATGAACAAATTCAAATATTAATAACTTATTTTAATAATATTGTTTTCAATATGTGATTTAGAGTGATAAAAAGTAAATTTCATAGTCCCTCAGATGGATAAATTTAAATTTTACAAAACTGTGCCATGTTATTTGTCGCCGAATTTAATAACATTTGAAATGATCAATTTGTTATACAGGTTTATTCACGAGTATTGTAGCTCAATGATCAAATATTTAGAAATTGTGAATGTTGTACTTCTCTAAAGCCACTGCTAAAACTACAATTTAAAATTATATTTATAGGGTACAGAGTGTCCCAAATATAGGGTGTTGAAGTTTCATTTTTATTTTGATTTTTTCCAAAAAATTTCTGAAATAACGTCAATATTTGGATGAAAATTGGTGTCTGGGTGTTTTTTGACATAATGAATTTGATTTTGATGTCAATATGACTCACAAAACACATACACAAGAAGAAGTGCGAGCGCCTTGCTAAATATTGGAAAGTGAAATTGACGTTTAAATTTGACACTGTTGACAAGTCTACTGCTACTAGCGCCCCCAATTTCGCTTGTAGGAACTACGGACTAAATTGTCACGCATGGCGGGAAGTTTAAAAAAATTAAAAATTTTATTTCTTCATTTATTTTTAATTATGACATACACAAAAACACAAAAAATACACCATTTTTTAAAAATATGTTTAATATCAATATCAAATATACAACAGAAATTAATTTCACCACAATAAATTAATAAAATTAAAAGAATAATGTTAGAAGTAGATCAAGAGACAAAATTAATTATAACAAAACTGATAAAAATGGCGTCATAGATGGCTTAGAAATAAAAGATATATCATAATTTTGAAAGTAAAATTATATGGGAAATGTCTTCGATCATCATTTTTAAGCTAACTGGACGATTATTTCAAACATACAAGCTGAGTTCGTTCATAGTGCTCTGAGAAATCTAGATAAACAAAGAATAATAAATTAAAAGTATTCCAGGGGAAAAGAGAGGAAAAACCTGTATCGTCTCTGATATCTGTCAGGGTATTGTTGAAAGTGTCATCTTTTTGCTCGAAGTTTTCAGGTCGATCAAAAAGATGACATTTACAACAATACTTTGCTGTAACTTTCACAAATATCAGAGAGAGTACATACAGGTATTGCCTCTCTTTTCCTCTGGGATGCTTTATATCTGTTGTTCTTTGTTTATCTATATTTCTCAGAGCATAATGCCGAACACGACTACAGTATATAATAATTTCAATATCCGAAGTGGAAAGAAAAAAGATCACCTTTCTGTTTTGTACTATGGTCCCTTTCTTCCGATGGCTCATCTCGTTGATATTTAGGAAGGATAAATAGGAAGGAAAATATAAAATTCAATTTGATTTGATGATCCTTTTCTGTCACCTAAAATCAGGAGAACGACAATGAGCATGTTAAGATGAAAAAAAAATTATCAACACTTACCTACACGTTAGTCCGAGGAGTTTTATTAAAAACCTATATATTTGCCTAAATAATTTATGTATTAAATTTGCAAAGCAAAATGCAGCGTGTAAACAAAAGAAATAAAATGGCGACAAGTCAACGTCAACGACCCGACAAGGAGAAAAGTGGTGTTCGAATAACAAATTATGGGTCACCAAAAATTGTTTTTGTCTCCTTTCAACGCACACTTTAGAAAGAAAAAGAGATGAACTGGAATACTGAAAGAACGTCAAGGTTTTATCTGTCACTCTTGTCAATAATTTATCGGTAAGGAAGATTCCTAGAAAATCGCTTGTAGTCAAGTTTTCAACCATTGCCAGTTTTCCCATAAGAAGTGTCATCCACCTGATATGACTACTACTTGTAGAGGGCGCCACCTACATATTTTTTAACTGGTTTGGAGAGTAATAACTTTTCGTACGTACCTGTATAAAACTACTGAGAAAAAATATACATTTGCGACGTTTTTTACGTAAAAAAAGTCTCTTGGTAAAAATCGCCAGTGTAATAGTTCTCGAGACATTTGGAATCGAAATTATCAACAATTACCAGAGAAATAGAAGGGATAGAGAATGAGCGTCAACATGCGCAGAAGGTCTAATCAAGTTGGGCGCCATATTCCAGGTCTTCCTGTCATTTTGTATATAGGTGGTAATTTATAAGTAATCAAATATCAATTTGCTGTTTTCAACCATACGGGGGGCAATTTAAATTTAGTGAAATTCTATCATTTATTATGGTTAGTTAACATTAATATGATTTATTTAATTATCAGTTTCAAAATTGCGTACAATATTGGTATATAATACACTAAATATACGAATATTCTGACAAAAGACGCTACGGACAGATGACCTTTTCGTCGTAAAACACTCGAAATGATATTAAATAAGTATTTACAATATTTCATGTTTACTTGTACTGAATTACGCGTTTCAATTTAAAATTTTTGCAAATTTGGTAAAAATTGTTCTAAACAACTTTTTGTTCAAGTTGTATATTCATAAAAAACATTTGGTTCATAATTATTTTTGATGATTATCTACCTTGTATTTTTAATATAAACCTAGAAAAAATATGTTTTTGTTTTATTTTTTTTATTCGTCCCTTCAAATTATGTTTCAAAAACTGTTACATAACATGTCCTCTAACAAATATTTTCATAATACATAAACATCATTGATTTTATTAAGGGTATTATTATTAGTATTTATCCTGGTTTTTGTCGACAATAAAAACTCAATCTTGTAATAGAACATCAATTTTATATTTCGTAAAATTATTTTGATACAAATTCGATTTGTCAAAATTCAAGTCATTAATATATTGATAAACAACCCAAATTATTCCTAAATATTTTATTATAAACAAAAACTGTTACCGGTAAGTTTGTAAAACACATTATGGTTTGTCGTAATACTAGAAAAAATCATTTATTTTTTGCACAAAAGAAGCTTGTCGATCCTTATTTGTCCATAACAAAATTCTGTATGTACATATACCTAATTTATTATTAAGAAAATTAGATTATATGATCTCAGAATTTTAAGAAATTTTTTTTTAAGATAAAATAGTTTCTTCTCAACTGTAATATTGTCAACTTTGGCCTGTATTTTATCTATTTAAAAACATGGGATTGACAATCCCCTTACTAAAATACATACTGGAAGGTACCGATTAAGTTTCATTGCATCAAATACCTTTACTATAAATCCTGGCTCACAACTCACAATTTAAGGCCATTGCAAAATGCTTTTGAACTTCATCATAGATTTTACAAGAATAAAAGTGTAATATTGAAACAAAGTAACACTGTAAGCTTCATGACTAATAGTCTCATTTTTAACACTCTTTAAATATCATCTCGTTAACAATTATGAATATTATATGATTTTTCTCAGTGATTTGTGGCACAGATACAAATTAATATATGCCCCATAACAGTTTTTAAATAAGAAACTTCTGCCTACAGATTTAATTTTCTTATTGGCATAATACCCTTTCTTCCTATATAAATCTTGCAGTTTTTCAGTCACAATGTTCCTTGTTTTTACAGTTGTAGGAATACTAAAAATGTTGACTATAGAACTCGATACTATGTTTGAAAAAGCCTTCATACCTGTAACTGTGCATAAATCTAATTAACTGAATTCTCCTCCTCTTGACACTCTGAACACGGCTGCTGCTAATGTTAGAAATATTTAGCACAAAACTACAACTACCTACAACAAACTTTACAATAAAAGTGTTAAATTTTCGCTGTTCGATTAAAATACCCTATCTTATGTTTTCTTTTCCTCCAAATAATCTTCTTGTCAAGTAAGGACCAATCTTATTTGATATATTTCTGGTACACTTGAACTTGTGCTTTCATGGACACTATAAGAGTGCACTGTTTTACAGAAGCACGAACACTGATTCCAAGTATCTTCTTCCTCCACACGTAATAAAAACATCCTCTTTAAATGGCCACATCATACACTTATTTTTGACCATTCCCAATTACAATCACGATTTTTACAAATCGCCTTTAGGAAAACTAAAAATAAACAGTTTTGAATCATCTGTAAACACAATTATGTTGTATAAACTTACACATGAAAACTAATCATTATTCCCGGCGTATTAGCTTTCTTAGAATGACTATGAATATACAACAATCCTTTTTGAATTAGTGTTTAGAATAATTCAAATAATAATAAATTTTAACTAGATAACAACACAAACGAAAAAAAACCAAAACAAACAGATGTCAATTAAAGAGGGGAAGTGACAGCGAGACCTGGAAGATGTCTGCCATCTTGCCGTCGACAAAAATTTGGATGCGCACTCGTCGAAGCTCATTCTCCCACTTCCATATCTCTGACAATTACTTACATGTCGTCAGCAGGGTTCGGAAAACTACATGTTACTTTTAAAAACTACATAAACTACATTACATGTAGTTAATGTAGTTTATGTAGAGGGTGTAGTTTATGTAACCTATGTATGTAACTTTCAAATGTCAAAGGTTTGAGGTGAGGTTATAATAAGTTGAAGCTTTAAAAACACATAATGTATTTAAGAAAACAGAAGAAATATGGCTTTAAATATAATATTTACATCATATTATCTCTATTACACCTCATACAAAGGAAAATTATTCATAATATCAATACATAGTTTATTAACGTAGTTTTGATGTAGTTAATGAACGGGAAAAGACGTAGTTTTTGAAGAGAAACTACACGTAGTTAATCAGGTAAATTACGTCTTAGTTAACTACTTCCGAACCCTGGTCGTCAGTGACATAAATTAAACACGTTGACTAAATAC